TTTTTTTGTAATTTTTTCTTATTTTTCAAGATGAAACATGTGAAATTACATACTACAGTATTAGACACAAATTATAAAGAGTTAAGTAACACTTGTAAGATTGATCAAATCATAATGGTATAATAAGATATAAATTTTACAATTGATTTTGTTAATTAATTGCTGCTTCTAACAATTGCCACTTGTGATCCATTTTTATTTTTTGTGCAGGGGTTAAGAAACATACAGAGTATTTTTCTATATTAATCCAATACAAAATATACTACCCCACCATATTTTGTGGGCAATATGCTCTTACATTTACATTTGTATATATAGTATTTAAATAACAACAAGATATTATCAACTGTTTTACTGTTGACAAAATCCTCAGACACACCTAAAATGACCTCTTTTGCACTGAAAGGCAAGAAGATGTCATAATTTCTAATCCAATCTTTAATGGATAACCAGAAGTTTTGTGTAACATTACATTCCCAAAAAATGTGAAAAATATTTTCTCTAATTTCTGAACAAAATGTACATAGTTCAGTTTCTTTTAATTTACAGTTCAATAAAAAAGAATTACATGGTAGAATCCTATGAACAATCTTAAATTGAAAATTTTGTAAAAACGAATTTCTGGTTACAATGAAGGGCATGGAATATATAGCATTCCAATCTTCAATCTGCGTATTTAAATCTATTTCCCATTTATTACGGGAAGATAATGATAATACTTTATTATCCTCCAGAAATAATTTATAGAAAAATTTACAAGATTTTGGTTCTTTTTTAACTTTATCTACTAATTTATTTTCAATATTATCAAGCTTAGAACTACCTTCTATCCTACTTTTCCATCTATTCGGAATAGCACTTAAAATACCATAAAACTCTACAAAATTAGAATTGATATTATACTTTTTTTTAAATTCTTCATATGAGAATAATGTATTATTATCCGACACCAGATCATTAATAAAAAATATACAATTTTCAATATATTTAACCTTCAAAATCATCTTGCCATCCATTTTAATGTTTGTGTTTAGCCATATGGTATACATGTTGTTGGTTTTTTTTTACATCTCCACATTGAAGAACTTCATACCGTGACCTTATCAATGATATTAAACAAAGTTTATTTTTCATTCGATTTTGATCTAAGAGTGGAGAAAATATAGAAAATTATTTATCCCAATGTGATAGCATGGATGTACACCAATTACTACAGTATCTAAGATATGACCAAAGCAATTGAAGTATGGTCAAGGTGACTTACTTTTGCCTTAACTTTTTAACTGATCATGAAAAATCTATGATGATATTATTTTGGGTTTGAGTCAGACAAATGTCTCCGTGTCTTCGTGTGGACTTCTATCATGTGAACAAGCACGTGAATATTCCAGCTCGGCCTGTCGGTCCAGCACAAAACAGGGTTCATGGTCACATCCTGATATGCATCAAATACTTGCTTACGGAAATCATGGCCTAATCCAAACAAATTCTTACTCCTTGCATGTGTTTTTCTCTTCTTACGAAGGTAATCAATTTAATGTATTAATGAACAGCTTTACAAAATATTTAAACAAAACGATTGATTATTTTACGAATTTGCTGAATTTAATCAGTGAATCTGTGAAACATATCTAAATTATTTCAGGGATTTTGTATAATCCCTAGTCAAAATCAGGAATTTTATACAATCACTATAATCAATTCACTGATTTTACAAAACTCCTGAAATTTCAGGCATTTTGAAAAAGTGACTATAATAAATAGACAGAAACAGTAAAAATGTTCAGCGCAATAAGATCTACAAATCAGTGGTCGAAATTGTCAACCGACTCCTTACAGATTCCCCCCTCCTGAATGATGATTTTTACCAATTTTTTTTTGCATTTTTGTTAAAAACAATTGGAGTTAGAGAGAATCTTTAACAATCAAAGACCAGCAAAATAAGATCAACAAGTAAGTCTCAACATGGCAAAATTGTCACACTTATTAAAGGACATATTGCTATTAAATGACGTTTTGTTTTATCTCTTTAATAAATAGTACAAACTGTAAACAGTTCAAATGATCATCAATAAAACACATACAAAAATGCCACTAAATAAGATCTACAAATAAGCAAAACATAAATGATTGCAGTAAAGGAAAAAAACATATATTAAAACGGCATATTTTAACAAGGTGAGCGATTCAGGCTCTTTGGAGCTTCTTGTTTATAATGCAATAATATTTTCCAAATTAAAAGTGATTAATTATTTTTTTATTATAAGTAAGTGATTATTTAGAAGAGACATGGTCGTTTATACTAATAGAAACAAAAATAATCAGTATTGGTATAAAAATGCTTTAACTTCTACAAGTACCTAATTTTGACATTGAGCTTTAGCTAAGAAAATCCTTTATGAGTAGGAACTCATAGACAATTTACAACAATATCAGACCAGCTTACCATCTTATTTGACCTTTCTCACGCAATTTGGGTATAACATAATTTACTCCAAAAAGGAAAAACTTTGGTATTATTTTTTCGTATGTTGTATTTATCATAATTTATAATTTCTTTCGATTGAAATCGACTAAGCAGCAAGAACTAACAAGCAAGTTGCTTTAATAAAAACATAAGGAATCGTCCAAATATATTATTTGGACCACATATTGCCCTTTTCGTTAATCCTGATTAGACAGCCAGTCGTTTCATTTGCTGCATGTATCATATTATGTACTTAGCACCAGATTGGCAGTACTTATACACAGTGCTTATTACCACAAAACACAGATCAAGTTTGAATTTTGGTGGCGTCACCTATACCGTTCTAGAGTTATGCTCCTTTACAAATGGAAAAATTGCTGAATTTTTCGTTTCCGTTCTCTAACTTAAGTTCACCTCAACTAAATGTTATGAAACTTAAACACAATGCTTATTACCACAAAACACAGATCAAGTTTGAATTTGGGTGGCATCACGTTTACCTTTCTTGAGTTATGCTCTTTACAAATGGAAACATTGCTGGATTTTTTTCGTTTCCGTTCTCTAACTTTTGTTTACCTCAACCAAATGTTATGAAACTTATACACAATGCTTATTACCACAAAACACAGATCAACTTTGAATTTTGGTGGCGTCACTTATACCGTTCTGGAGTTATGCCCCTTTACAAATGGAAACATTGCTGGATTTTTTTCGTTTCCGTTCTCTAACTTAAGTTTGCCTTAACTAAATGTTATAAATCTTATACACAATGCTTATTACTACAAAACACAGATCAAGTTTGAATTTGGGTGGCATCACTTTTACCTTTCTATAGTTATGCCCTTTACAAATGGAAAAAATGCTGAATTTTTTCGTTTCTGTTCTCGAACTTAAGTTTGCTTCAACCAAATGTTATGAAACTCATACACAATGCTTATTACCACAAAACTCAGATCAAGCATGAATTTGGGTAGCGTCACTTTTATTTTTTAACTTTTATTCTTGAGTTATGTCCCTTTATAACGTTATATGCAAGCGGGGGCATCATTTGTGCCCCATGGACACATTCCCCATTTATTTGTCTATCAATTATCTTTTGAAATGTTAAATATTCTAAATATGAAATAAACGTCGTTTGATTAAATTAACCAATGAGAGAATAATTTGTAAAACAAGAGAAAGCAAACTTTTTGCAATGTAAATCTAACTTACTGTTATTCTCCTTACACAGATTTCGACATAGTTTTGACTGGTGTTGATGATGTTTTTTTGTTTGGTTGCGACTTACTAGATACGCAGATAAACGATCGAAAAACAGTTTTACATGAATGGGCACCGCTCTCTTTGTAAGGAAAACAATCCAGGTTATATATAAAGTCCACTCATATTTTCGAGTTCCAATCGATATTATCAATTCATTCTCCCATTGACGTATACTATTGTCAATATAAAACTTCTCGTCCAAATATACATTAACTAGCTTTCAGTAACTACGAGTACTCTCAAATCGTACTTTCGTGTTAATTTGACCTGTTGACACAATTTGTAATGCATTTTTGTAATTTAATGTTTACTTATTTTGTGTTATATCTCGTCTCACTATTTTTAATATGTACCACCTTTGATAAGTATTTAGTATGACGATAAATTTTCACTTCTGTACTCGTACTGTGAACAACAAATTTATTAATTTTGTAAAAAATGTTTACTTCCGTACTCCTAACAACAAAATTATTATTTTTAAATTTACCTGTCTACGTTGTTTAATTTAGCGCCATTTTGTCCCAGGTCAAAGTTGTCTTTTTGACACTGTTCACACCACTTTTTTTTTTAAATAATATTGTATTTATATTGTGTCATAGATCAAACTTATTCGTTTAGCGTATGTTTACTTGTTTTTGCTTAAATGTCTTTAGATCGAGTTAAGCCATTTCAAATGATATTTTATAGTGTGTCTTTTTGCGTTGTAATGTTACACCACTGTCTCAGGTTAGGGTGAAAGTTGGCACCTGTTAAAACGTTTACACCCGCTGCATTTTTATGCACCTGTCTTAAGTCGGGAGCCTGTTGTTCAGTGGTTGTCGTTTGTTGGTGTGTTTCATAAGTGTTTCTCGTTTCTCGTACCATATATGCATCTTCTCATTTATATGACAGCTTGGATGGAGAGTTGTCTCATTGGCACTCATACCACATCTTCTCATTTATATGAACTATTTCAATAAATCAAACATTTTTTCTTTTGGTCCAGTCACTTAAAGAATCTACCGACTGATTGGTCCAGTCACTTAAAGAATCTACCGATTGATTTAATGAAAAAATAATGCAATGTTTGCAGCATTTTGCCATTTGAAATTAATAAAACGTCTACAAAAAATATATTTAAATAACAGACTGGAGTGTATTCGTATTGACTTTTCAACTATATAATGCCATTATTTTATAGAACAATCCACAATAATTGTTAATCATTATATAAAGATAAATGAGATGAACATAGAACCGTCCATTTTAATGAGCATATGATATTTTTCAGATGACTTGACACCCTAACAGCAATTCGACCTGGTATATCAAACAAGTATGTATTTTTTACTGAATAATTTGAAAATCAAATACGTGTACATTGTATTTAGTAGATACTTTTACTTAATGAAAAAGTTTGATAAGTAAACTGCTCTTTGAAACTAAATGATCTACTGTGATGGATAATGCCTTGATCCATATTATGTGAAAATATAATTTGAACTTAACATGTCAAAAATAAAAATGAAAAGATCATTTACCTTGAACTAATAACAAAGTAATGTTGTGATATATCAGTACATTTTGAATTTTTAACCGGATTTTCGAAGTAAAAATCGGTTATTGATTTGGGGATGTACGGTGGGCGGCTGCCAAACAGTGTCCGTTAACACTGGACACTTTTAATTTGCAAAACACTCATTTGCAAATCCGCCGCCGCCTCTCCTTAGACCTACAGTGTCGTGTAAATAACCAAAATGTGCGGAATTACATGGGATTCAATAATTTCATTGCTTTTCTGCTGTTATTATTATATATATTTTGTAATTTGATTTAGAAAAACATGGGATTTTCAATATCCCATGGGATAGGGCAAATCCCATGGGATTGACCATTATCCCATGGGATTTTGGTTAAATCCCATAGGATTTTTTTGGATCCCATGGGATAATTGTAGTCCCATGGGATATTTGTTGTCCCATGGGACAAAAAAAATCCCATGGGACTATAATTATCCCATGGGATTTTCAATATCCCATGGGACAAAATAAAATCCTATGGAATTCAAATTATAAATATACAGTAATGTGTATGTTACAATGAATTCTGTTTGGTAGTAAAAAGTTTATAATATATATATGAGTGTATTTTGTTTTTTTTCATTTTGTCACAAACATGTTTTTAATTTGTTTATAAGACAATAAAGATTATTATTATTTTGGAAATATAATAATATTTAAAGTCAAAAAATAAAATCCTTTAACTGAAATAAAATTATGACGTCTTAATAAAAGAAAAAAATATTGATTTGAAATCTTTGTCTTCTTTGTTTTATTATGAAAAATAGAACTGAAAAAAATATTTCTTATTCTGACTGAATAAATTGACAAAGCACAGTTAATAGTTTACTCTTTTCATGAGGTAAAGTTTTCTTTGTTATAGTTCCATTGCAATACATGAATATGCAAACGATTTGAATCTTATTCCTTTGTGGTGTTCATAATATTACATTTATATTTGTAAATTTATAAAATAAACACTTTTCCTGTTAAGTTTTAGTTTTCTTGTTTCAGCTTGCTATGAACAATTATTCAGTCCACTATATAAGAGTCAAGTAAATAAATTATTTCATCCACTAGAATGTTCCAACAATTCTTAGACAAAACATTTTTGCAATCTGTTCTTCAAAAATCTTCCTCCGACTCCGTACATCTTTATTGGATGGAGCGATTTAAATGAGTGGACAAAGCAAGTTCATTTGGACAACAAAATACTAATATATTTTTTCATTCCTCCCTTCTTTCAATCGATAATTACGTTGTTGCATTTACATGATTAAGTTCTTGAGCATCTATGATCATGATGATATGACTCCTTTTTGTTTATAGTCATTATGTTGAAATTTCCTCTTTCTTATGTAGGAAAAAAAACCACATTCCATTTCAAATTAATAAAAAAATCACACTATGTAGAAAAATATCAACTTTAAGTTTGCTGTTCAGTATTGACCTGTTGAATGATGATCATGAAAACCAAGATGTCTGACCTACAAATACACAAAACTCAAAAATTATAAATGAAGAGAAATACAGCAATAAAATGGCTATTTTATCTTGTTTATGTACATTTTGATAAAAATTTCATTTGAATATTTAAAATTGTAAGAACTCTTATTTCAGTGCTTTGTGTCTATGGTTTTCATATTAGTTGTTTTTTGTGCCTTGTTGCAGTCTTTTGAGTTAAGCCAATTGCAACAAATGTTTACAGTTTGTTCAAATGTTGTGCTGTTATTAAAACCACTGTCCCAGGTTAGGGGTGGGTTGGGTGCTCACTAAATGTTTATTTTATTAGTTGATATTTGCTTTGAATTAGCTGTCAGTAACTGCGAGTACTAATAGATCTGTATGTTGAGTCTTTTTTGTTAAAGGGAAAGAATAAATTTCCAGCCACATCCAGTCTGTGTTTTTGGTAGCTGTTTTTCTGCTTTGTTGCATTCTAATGAGTTAATAAAATTGAGAATGAAAACGGGAATGTATCAAAATAACCTGACCCAAGAGCAGAAAAAAACCCTTTTCAACTGATTTTATAGTTTTTATATTGAACTGACACTTACACCACTGTCCTTAATTAGAGGAGGATTTGGCGCCAGCAAACATGTTAAACCATGCCACATTTTGTAAGTGTCTGTCCCAAGTCAGGGGTCTATTATTCAGTGGTTGTCAATTGTTGCTATATATCATATTTGTTTTTTGTTTATTGTTTTGTGCAAAAATCAGGCACTTGGCTTTCACCTTTGTGGTGTTTCCCCCAAGCATGTTTAGCATGGATAGACACCATGCCCTTTTTAAATGACGCCATGCCCTTATTGAATTGTTTTACATTTGTTATTTCATGGCCTTTTATGGATTACTATGCAGTATAGGGTTTGCTCATTGTCGAAGGCTGTACAGTGAACTAATTTTGTTAAATTTAATGTCATTTGATCTCTATTGGAGAAAAGTCTCATTGGCAATCGTACCGCTTCTTATTTTTATATCAACCCTGCCATATTTTGCCTGTCATTATTTACAGGTCATCATTGGCCTCTAATAAGTAATTGCATTGCTTACATCCACTTAATTGAACTCTGGTGGATAGTTTTCTCATTTATCATACCACATCTTATTTTCATAATAATCATTATTCAAGGGCAATAACTTTTATAGAAGTGGACTTACAATTTAGGCTTTGTTGACGTCTGTAAATCTATTTTTGTTGATAATTTCTTTTGTTTATAGTTTCCCTTTATCTTTAATGTTCTTGCCCTACACATAAAAGGGTAAACATTATCATTTGATGACAATAACTACTATTACATAATGAGTAGGCAACTGACAATTTTGAATCATTTGTATCTTGTCTTGCTCATCATTTTTGCTTGATATTATCAATATTCTATGAAAATAAGGTCTCAGTAATATTAAACTTGGCAGACAGACATCTTCTTATTTTTATATGACACCTTGCAGTCATTCCATACACCAACAAGTAGACATATGCTTATAATATCTGATAAAATGAATAAAATGCTCCGCTGGGCGCAGCTTGATACGACTGCAGAGGTCGAACCCTGAACAGTTGCGGCAAGTATGGACACAACATTCAAGCTTGATACAGCACTGAATTTGGATTGTGATTAAATATTTGACACAGCATAGGTTTCTGACACAGAATGAATGTGGTCTAAGAACTTAAAAAATTTTAATTTACCTATTCAAACCATATCATTATTATTTGCTTTTATATATAAATCAGAAATAACCAATTCAAAATGGAAAATTTTAAAGAAAAAAAAAGGAAAAAAAGGGGAAAAAAATCCCCCCCCCAAAATTTTTTGAACCCCCTTATGATTCATCACCCCAAACTCAATCCCAGCCTTCCCTTTGTGGTATGGTACCTTGCAGTACAATTTCAGAAAGATCCATACACTTACACACAAGTTATTGCCATGAAACTAGAAAAATTCTTGTTTTTTGCCCCTTCTTTGGCCCCTTATTCCTAAAATTTTGAAGCAATTGCCCCCAAAATCAATCCCAGCCTTCCCTTTGTGGTATGGTACCTTGCAGTACAATTTCAGAGAGATCCTTAGACTTGAACACAAGTTATTGTCTGGAAACTAGAAAAATGCTTATTTTTGGCCCCTTTTTGGCCCCTAATTCCTAAACGTTTTGGGCAATTACCCCCAAACTCAATTCCAGCTTTCCCTTTGTGATATGGAACCTTGTAATACAATTTCAGAAAGATCCATACACTTACACACAAGTTATTGTCATGAAACTAGAAAAATGCTTGTTTTTTGCCCCTTTTTTGGCCCCTAATTCCTAATATTTTGAGGCAATTACCCCCAAAATCAATCCCAGCATTCCCTGTGTGATATGGAACCTTGTGGTACAATGTCAGAGAGATCCATACACTAGCACACAAGTTATGTCTGGAAGTTACAAAAATGCTTATTTTTGGCCCCTTTTTGGCCCCTTATTCCTTAACTGTTGGTACCATAACCCCCAAAATCAGTCCTTAAGGTAAAATTTCATAGAGATCCATTCACTTAAACTAAATTTAGAGTGCGAAAACCAATATGTCTTCGGACGACGACAACGCCAACGTCATACCAATTTTTTGCGGTCGTATAAAAAACCAAGAAAACTTGGCATTGACCAAAGAACCATAAAATGCGATCATGGTTATATGAATCTGCCAGACAGACATGAACACCTTACAATCGTTACATCCGCCAAATATAATTTACTTGTTGCTTAAAGCATATGATAAACTGACAAAACAATGCAAACTTTTCATTGACCAATGAACCATGAAAATGAGGTCAAGGTCATATAAAACATGCCAGACAGACATGTGCATCTCACAATCATTCCATTCACCAAATATAGGGGCCTTATTCATGTTTTTGCTTACAATATCCGAAAAAAACCACAAAAACTAAACATTGTCCAATGTACTATGAAAATAAAGTCAAGGTAAGATGAAACTTCTCAGTCAGACATATGCACCTTACAATCATTCCATACACCAAATATAGTTGACCTATTGCTAATTTGAAAATAAGAAAATAGAAAAACTGACCAAAAAACAATAAAATAACATTGAGCAATGAACCATAAAAATGAGGTCAAGGTCGAATAAAACATGCCAGACTAACATGTACATCCTTAAAAATTTTCATACACCAAATATACTTGACATGTTGCATACATTATTAGAAAAACTGGACATTTTTACCTAGGAATAGTGATGTCATGGACTAGGAAAATTAGTCTGGGGACATAAATTACTGAC